TTATAACCGTCAAACGACGGCATTTTTGTCTACTTATAAACCTACTCTGCTTCTGTCCTGGGTTTTCTTCCGCGCCATCTCACTCTCATCGACTCACTCAGTCATGCGTCAACTTAGTCACTCCCACGAGCTTCCTCAGGACGTCGACCTCGCCCACCTCTCAGCGACGCCATCTCTTCTCGGTGTGGACCGCACCCACCTAGCCGTCACCCCCGCAAACTTCCCCTCGCTGTCTTGACAGCCCACCTCGCCCCGCGCGCGAATCGCCCAGCTTGATTTGCCGAGGCATGATTCTGGTATTTGCAAGATGTTTGAGTTGGTGAATTTTTGTTCTGGAACTATCTTCACCACTCTTGTAATATATACAATTTGTGTATCATTCAGAGGAGAAGTATTAATATTGAAATTATAATAGGAACGGCAAGATAGAGCCTCTGCTCAAGTTGCTCAAGTTCTGATGTTAGGATGGACCTTTTATTTAAAATATTAGTAAGTCTGTTATTAAAAACACATCAAAATCAAGGTACTGAGATGGCCAACAAACAAAATCCATCCAGCGACGCTGCGGTTTTTCAGTTACTCCACCGTGAGAACAGTCAAAGAATGAACTCATATGTGCGTTGATCTTCGTTGTTTTTTCTGCTTCTGCTAGCTTTATATGTGTCTCCATCTCCAAATAGTTATTCTATGTTTCTTATTTTTATAGGTAGAAAATCATTGAATACATGGAAAATTAAAAACGTTTTGGTCTTTGGAATGGTTTAAAATGTTTGTTGTTGTTGGTTCTAATGCTATTAAATATTTGACGGGTAGTTTTATAGAAATAAATATTTGTTGTTGTTGGTTGTATTTAGCCTGTTCAACTTCTTAACGTAAATAATTTCGTTTATTAAAAAAAAAAAATCACTTGCATAAAAAATCCACGGTCATTTTAAAAACTTTAAAACACAACCTAGCTATAAAGTTAGTGATGCATAACACAGCGTAATCGGTGACATCATAGCTGGCACTAATTTCGTAATAGTAATCTTGGTCCATATCCTGCATCAGCTAGTTAGTCCCAAGTCCCATCCTATATATAATATAATATATATATATATATATATATATATATGTATGTATGTATGTATATGTATCCGGCATTGCGTGAAGAGCGAGTTGAAGAAAAAGGAGGTAGATGAGCATGTGTTTCCATCTGCAACTCTTTTCTCAAACGATTATTAGTATGATATAAGCTTCGCACTTTTTCAATTGCTTTGGGCTAATATTACTTTGTCTTGGTAACTTATGCATGGACGTAGTGAGGGAGATCCCTTCAAATTTCTCTTTTTTTTATTAATTTTTTTTATATTTGAACAGTCACGACTCATGATTAAACTACGTTAATATTTAGTGTTATTTTTTAGGGTTCTTTAGAAAAAGACCCTTGAAACTCTTATTTTCCAAACAAAAACCCACATAATATTAAACTTCCAAATAAAACCCAAATTTCAAATAGAGTACCATGTAGACAAATATGTAACCAATTGTCATCACATATTTACAACTTATGCCACAAAACTCTAGTTATGTAAAGAAATATTATTACCCACCCTAATTATGATTAGCAATTAACCCCATATGGAAATTTTACCTTTCTTGTATGATAAATATTAGGAATATATATATATATATATATATGTAAATTTAGCTATGTTCATAAACAATTTATGGGCACATTTTTCGTTTGGAAAGAAAAATCCTTTGTACAATCAGTTATTTTGCATCAAATAATAATATTGTTTTATAAAACAACAAAAAACCAATTAATATTCTTTTATGTTGTAGTTAAATTATTTTACCTAGATTATTACATACATTAGGCATTTCTTGTTTGTTATCATATGCTTGTTAAAAATAATATATCTATATTTATATGTAAAATATAAGTAAATTAATTTTGAATCAAATAGTATTTATTTTGTAGGTAAATTAAAATAGTAGTTCCATTATTTTGGGAAAGTTAAACAGTGCCTAAATAATTTCGTAAAAATTAAACCAAGACAAATTATCTCCATTAAAATAAAACAGTACATATTCGACAAAAAACAAAATAAATAAATAAATAAATAAAATAGTAGATACATTATTTTCTTATAAGATTAAACAATAGGTAAATTATATTGTAGGTACATTATGTTTGTAATATAAAAAAAGAAATTGAAATTCATAAACAAAAAGTAGTAGATATATTAATTTTTAATCAAATTTCCCTTATATGTTGGTGAATTATTTTCATGCATTATTATATATATTGGGCATATTTTACTACTAATATATATGTGTGGAAAAATTTACCTATATTATCATATAAAATATAGATAAATTTATTTTGAATCAAATAACATTTTTTATTCTATAAGTAATTTTTTTTTTTTTGAGTTGAAATGATAGCGACTTTATTAATGTCAAGAAGACGACATACACTAATCCAAGAGGGTACCCTAGAGTAAATTATTTTGCATGTATCATTACATATACAGGGCAAATTTATTACTAATGCACATGTCCAAATAATTTACCTGTATTTTTTAAATATAGGTAAATTATTTTATAGTGCTCTTCCAAATTTTCATTTGGTAAGAAAATGACAAGATTTAATTAAAATTGTCTAATTTTATGCAAATTTAAAAAACAATTACAAACTCTTAAGGAAAGTATAACATTATTAGTTCTTTTTTGCCTTAACATACAATTTGTTTTGATATATTAATGCAATGATTTTAAACATTAATACATTTCTTTTTATTAATTTCTCCCTTCAAATCTGCATAGAATTAAATATCTACATCAAAACGGTAATTAGGGGTATTTTAGGCATCTGAAAAATGCAAAATGTGTAAAGGCAAACAAAATTAATGAATTTACTTATGTGGAGCCTAGTCATTGGGTTTTATTCAGATAAAAAGACTATGTCGGGTTTTATGTAAAGAAACTTGAGTTTCAGGGGCTAAAGTCAAATTTTCAGTATTTTTTATAAAGAGAGAAAAAGAGGAAAGTGAGAGAGAAAAGGATTAGAGGGGAGATGCTTTGAAGGAGAGAGAATCCAACAGTAGTGAGATATGATGATTCACTATTACATGAAATTATTATGAATCTCAAAATTCTGAATCCCAACAAATCATAAGAAAATTCATCAATTTATTCATATATGAATTTACTCAAGATCAGTTTGTATTCGTAAGAACGTCTTATGTGACGATAATCTATGATTAAAGTCTTAACTAAATCTGTAAAATTAAATATTGATGAGGTGTCCTCCACACATGCAGTCTTGTTCTCTTAGATTTCATGAATCACCGTTTGATTAAAATTAAACCATGCATAGGTAAGCCGGAAACATTTGACTAGTGGCAGGGACTCAAGACAACCCCCCAACATTCTCCTCATTCTTCTCAGAAGTCGGAACCAAATCATCAAATTTAAACCACTGGTAAACAATTAATCATTACACAGTTACCAATGTTATAAATTCAGTCTCATCCAGATTAGGATTCCTTAATTGGTAAATTCCCAGCAAGTGTCGTTGTCCATCGATCAGAAAACGAAACTATAGTTTATAAACTAATAATATAACTTTACAAGTTGATCATCGATTATTGTTTCATATAATATATACAACTACAACTTACTTCAAAGTTGGAGGACCAGGGATTGTTTTGATTTAAAAGATAACCCTAACCGTCTAGATAGCAAAAACCAAAGAAATTTTTTGTCATCGGCTCCTTTAACTATGGGCTCGGCGGCAATCTTCTTGAAAAACATTTTTGGTCTCTTCCCTCTTCCTTTCTGTTTACTTTGTTTGGTGGAGAATTGTCGTCGTGATAGTCGTCGTGTTTGGTCCACGCACACAATAAATACTAAGGTTTGATCCAATTATCACTCTCGATATAGTGTTAAAGTTGTAAGTCATGGTAGATGTCGGATTGTGTCGGAATTAGTTTAGCCAGAACGACAATACGAATTTAGCCCGTGCTGTTATATGGCTTTCAGATGTCTAGAAGATGTGGAGTGGTGACATGCTCTTATCCTTTTATTTTGTTTCTGTCTAATCATTTCTAGTAATTATCTTGAAGTTTGGTTTTGATTTCTCTCTTTAGGAGAGTTTGCTAGTTTGATTGCTCTCTATAAAAGAGTTGCTCGATTTTTAATTTTCATTTTGATGTGTTACCTCTTTTGGATCTATGTGTGAAGCGTGGAGCTGTTTGATTTGCTGGATCGACTTCACTTGGGGTTCTGGGATCGTATTTGAAATTTTATTCTCACATTATCTCTGTGTAACATGAGGTTTAACTTTTATTGATCTGTGTAATCTTGTGGTTCCCAATAAGCTAGAAAGAGTGTTTGATGTCTACTCATTACTTTATTATAATATTTTTAGATCTAATTTGCAAAGATCCTTTGGGGCCGATGATTCATGATATGTAATATATAAATGTTTGTAATATTTTTTTTCTTCTTCAAATGAAATATCGTCCTTTTCTTTGAAAAAAAAAAAAAACCCCTTCCAAGAATCGTACTCTGGCATATAGCTAGATTCACTCAAGGACAGTAATATTTGTTTCCTAAAAAATATATATTTATATATATATTCAAATACTTTTCTGGTTTCTATATATGGTTAAATGAAACAAAAGAGAAAGATTTTTTGGACTAAGTTGTGGAAATACTCATGTAAATAAATTCACTGATTGACGTCCACATATGATACATCTAGCTACCAGTCGAAGGAAGTGATGATGTACCAAATTAGCATGCTCACTTTTCACATATCCACCTACCAATCATAGCCAAGATGAGTAAAATATCACGTTTCACACCGCACACATACCTATACACTTACATGTGTAAGTCAGAGAGAGAGAGAGAGAGAGAGAGAGAGAGAAACCCACATGTATCTGCCAAACCCCAAAATCAATAATCCATATCTGCACCTATATATCTGCATCTGCATGCATGGGAGAAAGCAAGAAGTTCAATGTGGTAACTCCCTCTTGTCTCCCTGTGTGTTTCCTGTGTGAATCCTTACCCCACTAACAAAGGAATTGTGGTCACAGTTGAAACTAGCTTAAATACTTAAACGTCTAAAGTTAAGGGAGGCAGGCAAGCAAACAAACAATCATGTGTGGAACAACTACTCCGAATGTTTCGGAGATTGCGAAACATAGGACCCTGATCATTGGATCAACAGGATTCATTGGCCGGTTCGTTGCTGAAGCCAGCCTTCACTCAGGTCACCCAACCTATCTCCTTGTCCGCCCCGGCTCAGTCGTGGGCTCTTCCAAGAGCACCACCACTATCGGGTACTTACAAGAGAGAGGAGCTATAGTCATAACGGTACCTCTCTCTCTATATATACAAATCCTTATATATGTGAAAGTTTACGCTATTATTGATATCGACTGTATTAACAACATATGAACATGTCCACAAATGCGGTTAACCACAACCTAAAAGAACTCTATATAACATATTTAATAATATTGCATGTACTACTTATATGTGCATGCATGTGAATAATAACCGTGTTGAGCTGATTATTGTGATAAATTAATTGGTTATATACACACACAAAAGGGCTCCATTGATGATCAAGATTCAATGGAGAAAGTGTTGAAGGAGCACAAGATTGAAGTTGTCGTATCAGTTGTGGGTGGTGCAAGAATTTTGGATCAGCTTATTTTACTGGAAGCCATCAAAGCTGTGGGCACTGTTAAGGTATTATATATAGTTTAATGGTATATCAGTAATAGCATAATAGCTGTGGGCATGTTTGTATTATATATAGTTTAATGGTATATCAGTAATAGAATAATATGAATGATAACTTATTTTGTTTTTCCTACGTTGAAACGTCTGTATATACTTGTTTGGTGGTCAATAATAGCTACATTATTGTGCAGTTAATTTTTCTTTACCGTCTTAGACTATTTTCAATGAAGGTGTTAAATACGCTAATTAGGACTTAAAAAATAGGTGTTCTTCAAACAATATGTCATATATAACGTGACAACTGAGTCATTTAACTCCTTACTTTCAAGCTATGTTTTTTGCCGCAAACAAAGATGAAGTCAAATAAAATTTTGACATATAATATTTGATGTCTATGTTGAAGATGCTATTAAACTTTACTATTATGAATTGAAAAAAAATATTCCTATTATGAAATGACATCATAGAGCCCATACAAAAATACTAATTAAATAAGGGTCTTTTAGCCAAAATGGTCTATGAGATTGTTCATCATCCATTATTTTGGTCATTCCATTAAAAAACTTCATTAAGTGGTCCCTAAGCCTTTTAACAGAAGGACCAAATTAAATGATGGATGGTGGACAATCTCATAGGCCAAAGTTATGTGTTATGCAAATCTCAGGGACCAAAATTATGTGTTATGTAAATCTCAGGGACCAAAGTTATGTGTTAAACCCTCAACTTAACGGAGTTTTTTAACGGAATGACCAAAATAATGGATGGTGGACAATATCATGGACCACTTCTATTGATTTTAAATCTCAGGGACCAAAGTTATGTCTTATGCAAATCTCAGGGACCATTTTGACTAAAAAGCCTTAAACAAGTGAAAACGGTCATGTCAAATAGCAAATAGACATGAGCAAGATGGAAAAGGATCCCCGCAGGATCCTTTTCCTGGAGATCTAGGGGATCCCGTGATCATGGCTGTTCATCGTATATCGTGCAGTCAGTTTTCGTTAGATCCATACATACAATCATATTAAAACTTTTTTTAGATTAAAGTACTTTCTTGCAAATTAATAACGATTTAACTAGAAAATTTTGGTATATATCACAAACACATATACCTACGTTCTACATAGCAAGATGGTATTGTTTAGTACATGAACATGATGAAACTAAAATTGTGGACAGAGATTTTTGCCATCTGAGTTTGGGCATGACATAGACACAGCTGATCCAGTAGAGCCAGGGCTAACTATGTACAATGAGAAGAGAAAAGTCAGAAGGGCCACTGAGGCTGCTGGAATTCCCTACACTTACATATGCTGCAACTCCATTGCTGGTTGGCCTTATCATGACAACATTCACCCCGCCGATGTCCTCCCGCCGTTGGATCGATTCCACATCTATGGTGATGGCACTGTCAAAGGTAATTAAGCTATCTAAAGACTGCTTTGATTATTTATTGTATAGTACATATGCATGCACCAATACTAAATGTAGAAGTCCCAGATTTCTTTAAAACTAATGGTTGGTAAGCATACTTATATAAGACGAGAGAACAGATCAAATAAATGAATATTTACTTTCATCAATTTTTAATATTAACTATCATCGATCAAATTTGAGCCATTACTTTTTTTAACAAAATGAAAACTAAGTGCATTAGTTAGATTCTAAATGCTACACATTGAATATTGAAATTCAGAGACCAAAATGAATAAAAGAGTCAATTTAAAGACCTTTTGTGATAAATAAAAATCTTAAAAGAAATTACGAAGAAGAGATGTAGCCGGCCGCCCTAATTTTGTTTTCTTTTCATATTTTTTGGGTCATAGCCGCCCTTGATTGGAACATGTGAACAACTACAACAGAAAGGAAAATTCCAAAAGAGATACAGAGGGAATATACAAATAATACACGAGACAAGACAGTATTCTTTTTCCCATTTTCTGAGGAAGGTTAATTAAAAAAATATTAACACGTAATTAGGACTTTAATTTGTCAAATTCAAAGCTTAATTAGTTGGCTAAACTGTCGCTGCAGCTTACTTTGTGACTGGTTCTGACATCGGAAAATTCACCATGAAAACAATCGGTGACGTCCGAACAGTCAACAAATCTGTTCATTTTCGACCACAATGCAACCTGTTGAACATCAACCAGCTTGCATCTTTGTGGGAGAAGAGCATTGGACGCACACTCCCTAGACTCACTGTTACAGAAGACGACCTTCTTTCTGCTGCCAAAGGTGCATATCTTTAATCCAAACCCTACTTACTTTCCGATCGCCCAGTAACGTGTTGGCTTTGCGTAACATACAAAGTCCAGCAGATATTGAGTTTAACCAGCAAGCCTATAGTAACTTGTTGGCTCTGTGTTACATTAATTCAAAATATAACATGTCTTAAATTCGACCGGTGGTGAAATTGAGGATATTAATAATAAGTTCCAGGAAGCCATTTTAATTAATTTAATTTAATGGCTAATAAATTACAACTTTGCAGAAATGATCATCCCACAAAGCATTGTGGCATCCTTCACTCATGACATTTTCATCAAGGGCTGCCAAGTAAACTACGACATAGAAAACCCTAACGACATTGAAGTCTGTTCTCTCTATCCCGACACACCATTTCAGACCGTGGAGGAGTGCTTCAAAGATTTTGCCACAAAGGTTGTCGTCGTTAATGTTCCGAAAGTAGCTGAAAAATCAAAGAGCAAAGATTTCATCCTCGTGCCGAATACGAAACCAGAAGCGTTAGTTGTTGCGCCAGCATCAGCTTGATCAAAGCAAGGTTAATCTTATTTCTTCTTATCAATCTGCTCAAGTAAAAAAGAATAATGAATGTACCGTATCCGGTCGATCTTTTCCCTTCTTCTGTTATTGTAGGAAATAAGTTTGTCTCGAGGAAATTATGCACTATTTTGTCGATCTTTAACTTGAGGAGAGATTTTTCAAACACAATCCAGTATACCTAGTGTAATAATACAATTGGTTAGAAAATTGAAAAAAAAATTCTAATCAATTGTATTAACACTCGAGAGTATCGTGACGTGTCCCGGCACATTGAAAAATTTCTCCAACTTGATAGTCAAATGATGCAGCTAGTGAACAGTCCAAGATTGTGGGAAATAAATGAACTACTTATCCATATAGAGTTTCAAATGAAACTTGTCTTCAAGCAATCGCTTGTAACTTGTTCGCTTTGTGATATAATTAAAGATGAGGGAATTACAGATTTGACTGACACCCAATTAGATCATTATAAATTTCTTGCCTTGAGTTTGTTTTCTTAACATGGTATGTTAGGGTGAGTGTTAGGTACTAACTGTGATAAATAATGCACATTTTGATAACTTTAGAAACTTCAGGTAACGATTTTTATTTCAGGGACCAAAACCTAGTGAAAACGAGCAAAAAAGCCCGCGCGATGCTGCGGGTTTACAACTCTAGTTCAACATAATTACAACAATGTTTACAATTTTGTTACTACATGTATACAACCATACTTACAATCCTATTTACACATATATACTAATCAGCATTTAAAACTATGTGAAACGGGGAGGGAGTTTTACCTCAATACAAAACACAATAACCTAAAATTAAACATATCTCCATGTCATTCATTTTGCATTTTGACCCCTCCTCTTATAATGCAAAGAAGGAATTCTCCATCATCACCACCACCATTGGTGCTCTCTTCTTGTTTTCATTTACCCAGAAATTGGGAGCCTGTGTACAACCAAAAGTGCGGATTTCTACGTCCTAGCTATATACAATTTACTTGAGTTTCTCAAAACCTAATGCAAACAACTAATTTTGGCTAAAATTTGTCCCTCATGTATTTTCCTCATCTGAAAAACTAATACAAGGTTCTAACCATACAACCAAAACCTCCAAACATCTACAATCAGCGCACCAGACAACATAACACCACTTTCAACAACTAACAAACTCATCATCACGTAGCAACAACATCACTGTTAGAGCAACTCCAACAAGAGTTGGAGCCTAATGGACCGACAACTTTGATGACCCAATAGCCCCAGCTACTTTCTCCAGCCCATGCGGGCGATTGGGCAAGGGGCCTTGAGTGAGAGGCCCGGCTCCAATTGGTGGCCCGAGAGCCCGAGGTTGTGTGATGCTTGGCTGACATTAGTCACATTTTAAAATTAATATAAAATAATAAAAATGTAAAAAATTAATAAAAAATGTAAAAAAATTAATAAAAAGGTAAAAAATTAATAATTTTTTTTTTAAATGTAAAAATAAATTTAAAAATCCGAATTTTTTTTAAAAATTTAAAAAAAAATTTGATTTAATTTTTCTATAAATATGTTATCATTATCTTCCAACTTACACCACAATTTTATATTTTCTCAAATACTTTGGGTTGTAATTTCTTATTTAATAACACGTGGTACAACGAGATCGATTAAAAATCCTATCCTAAATTACAAATAAAATTATTTTTTATTTTTTATAAAATAAAAAATACTAATATTTTATTGCCTATTGCCATGTCTATTCAGTTTAGGGGTGGAGATGCAAAAGGCAAGTTAAAGGCAGTTACTGTTTATTGGAGGGGATTGAATAGGAAGTTGCCCTAGGGGGACTTCCTCATACTTGCTCTTAAGCAGCGCCTGGGTTTAAAGAAACGGAAAATGAAATCGGATAAGTAAAACGTAAGATAAAGATGGCAATGAAATTGAATTATGGGTTCCTACCGTGCCCTTTGCAAAGTGTCCTTAGTTGAGCAATATATTCAGATATTTTCCTGATGGCTTCCACCTACAAAAAGGTAAAAGCAGAACATAAAATATCATGCAAGCAAGTGTCCCTGTAGACCCTTTCCAACTGACGAAAAATAAAATCACCTAAACCTAATCATCTTATATTAAGAAGACATCATACAACAACAATGAATGTTTTACACTGTGCAAGTGAAGTAGCTTTCATTTGCCAATTTCTCAAGCGATAATGCAAGCTCCATTGCTGGACAAAAAAATAAGGACCGAGAAGACATCAAATCAAATGCAGAGAGCAGATAAAATTGCACCCAAAAGGCAAAAGCCTTCTCTAACAAATAGATACATATAAGGAGTCGTTTGGGATATAGATATGGGTGTACCTAGAAGAGTAGAGACGCACTGAGTCGGAGAGAGCAACGAGAGACAGTGGAATTTTGGAGGAATACTGGACAACGACGAACTGCGCAGCCAGAGCTGTTGGTGGCAGTGATTCCGCTGCGAGAGACAGTTCGAAAAAAAGTATTCAATACGTCTTACGAACTGTAATAATTCAGTCACAAGCTTCAAATCATTGGCATTTCAATTACAAGGATTCATAATTTCAATTTTAAGATAGTATTAACGGTTTACAAAATTAGAGGCAGCTGATGGCATAGCATACCGGCTTCAAGTATGCTAAAATTATACAGTAAATTGGGGTATTTCCGTTCTTTCACTGTGATTAGGAACAGTGAAGCTCCTTAACTGAGTTTTAGTATATATAGAATTTATCCTCGTAACACTCACTTATGATTGACAGTATATTTTTGTATTGAATGAAATCGTGAGAAAAGATAGAATGCTGCAACTTCGGTTCTTTCAATTCAACTGTCGGAAATTAAAAAAGGTGTGTACGAAGTAAAAATTTTAAACGAAATACTTTTTTCTCAAATCTCCTAAGAAATGACCTCCATCTTTTGTATTAATTTCCCGGAATATTAACGTCATCCATGCTACCATATCGCATACGAAAACTTAGTTGTTATGATAGTAATTTTCCCTCTATATTTACAGTTTCAAAAGGTAGAAAAACTGAGAGAAAAAAGCTACTCAGTTTTAGCAACAGAGACTGCACATCCTGCATCTCCTATAACCCTTTGCTTTGCTTAACTAGCACCAGAAAAACTCCATGGAAGTTGCAGTATAATCTGTGTTCAGAACATGTGCTGAATCAAGGTTATCGTCCCGCTCTATGTACCCCAGTTCCATATTGTAAACAAAATTCGAAGCAGGGAGGATTAAAACCTTAACTAAACATCATAGACAGGCAAGCGCTTCTCGATTGATTCACGGCATATCGGGCACTTTTTACACTTGTCAGAACAGGAACTGCACGATATTGAAAAACAATGAGCACGAATACATCTATATCAAACTGACAAAAAAGCATAGCAATAATATGATTGTACCTGCAAAGGACACGATGTCGACATGGTAGCAGGACCACACTGATCTCTCCCTCGAAGCAAACGCGACATAACACTTTTTCCTGACCAGTAGAGTATCATAGAAAATTTCAATCACAATCGAAGATCTCCAGATTCTGAAAATGAAATAACACATACGCATGCGCTACAACTAGTTACGGACTGGAGATTAGATTACATTTTGAAGTCTTTCGTACTCCTGCTGGCTGTATTTGGTGATTTCTGTCTGTTCACCAAGAGCTGCTTGAAGTCTCCATACCTGATAATTTTAGATGATCACAAACAATATTAACAACATAAAGGAGGAAGAGGAAAAAATTGGCCAATACACATACAAATTGTAATTTAATTATTTTTTGGACTGATACAAATCATTATGCTAGCCAAAAGCAACAAAAACGAAGGCGCTATGATCACCTCCTCAGTGAGATCCTTCTTGGGCATTTTCTTCACTATCTCAGGTGGATAACCAGAAAAAGTGTTATATCTGCATTTTAGGAACCAAATATACAAATGTCAGAAACGCTACATCTAGAAGTTTTATGAATTTGTTAATTACCCGAAGATAGTTCAAACTGCACACTGTAACACATTTGAATAAATTATTTCTCAGAGAACATAGAAGACAAGAACAATACTAACCCTGAAGCCCCCTCATGAAACAGTCTGGCATCTTCTTCTCGACTTCTTTCATCAATCGACCACCAGCCCAGTAGCCTGCAGTACACAATTTTTATCATTCCATAGGATATTCACTGCTCTTACTGCTTATATAAATACAATGGGTTGAAATCTTCTTATTAAAGATCCTTTCAGAACAGGGAAGAGTTGATTAACAAAAAACAAAAAACAAAAACTTCCTACCTAGAACCACGGTGCAAAAACCCGAAGCAGTCATGAGCTCTTGAAGAAACTCTAAAATATAATCCGGTGCCAGCCCCAGTACGCAACAAAAGTACAATTTTCTCCACCAACCTACATGCAGACAATAGTACACCGGCGCCTTGGAGTAAAAAAAGAGGAGAGAAGAGAACTAGAAGTGGGATATGTCTAGCATTTGCTGGGGTTCCCTGAAATTTGAAGTTACAGAAGGTTAGTTAATAAGATTCTCCAAAATGTAGCCATGAACCACAACCCAGAAACGTGACATACCTCAAGGCGCATACAAAGGAGAACTTGAAAACCAATCACTGGAATTTTCATAAGATGCCCACCAATATCTTGCAGACCACACATTCTATCTTGATTTTGATCCTCTTCTGCTGAAACTACTAATCCGCTATTCCAGTCAAGATATCTAATAGTTGTAGAAGATGAAGTAGCTTCTCTTGAATGAGCACTTCTATGAATCACTGGATTAGACCACTTTGTACAGACAAGAAAGGCAAAGCATTCTGCAATACTGTGAAATATATGCACTTCTTAGTCAACCAAAATAGGAGCAGAATCTTTAATTTATATATAAAAGCAAGCACCGGAAAATGTACATGCGGAATAGGATATATAGGCACAAGAGGCACAGAAACTGTACCCAAAATTTATAAATAAGTCCCACCAACCAAGAGCACCTACATCACCTGCACATTTCATATGAGATAGATCTCAATTACCGAACATTAAAACACTCCTTTGGACTCTCTCTCTCTCTCCCTTCCCACCACATACATATATGCATGTATACAGTGAGAATTCTATATGTAAGTATGCATATATAAGATGATAATTCTATGGATCAATTAGACTATCCAGAGAAAGGATATTACAGATGAGTAATGAGAGAAGACAACAATTTGAAGGCATTTTTCATTGTTACATTTGACAGCAAGGAGTTACAGAAATTACCGCATAACTTAAGCAGGGTGAACACTGTAGCAGCAACAAAGAAAACCATGGAGATTGCTACCCAGAAATGCTACAGGAAATACATTTGGAAAACATTAGTGGCACTTTCCAAAATTGACTTTCTAAAAATAGGTAAAACAAACGTTTAAGTTGAACAGAAAGTAAGACAGGAGGAATTTCAAAAGGCACTTCATACTCTCACATCAAATATAAATTAATACTTACTAAATAGTAAAAACCACCCTCAAGTGAAACTATTTTCCCACTATATCTGAAAGTTAAAGATAACATAAATAGACATGCCATGATGTCATTACAGAAATAGTAAGTTTGGACAAGAAAAATGGACCAAGCAGAAAAGGATAAAACAAAAATGCAAGAAATATCATAGGAAAACTATTCATTTCCACTTGAGAACGATGGCAAGAAACTTTTGGAAATTTTGTAGGAAAAGCTAACCATTGCTATCATCTCTACAACACTATCTTCTACGCACATTAATGACGGTATGAAAAAGTTTGTTAATCCTTAGACAGTTCATCAACTAATGAAATAAAACTTACAGGAAGTGTCTCCCATATTGCCTCATCACTCATGCTTTCATCATCCCCTGGCATTAGAGCCCTGCACATCCTGTTAAAGAAATGAATATCGATTAAAATCAGCAGAATACACCCACTACACTAGAGCATTTCTAGGGGGGAAAAGGAAAGTGACGGGAGGGTATGATTAACAGAATACATATTTCCATATTCTTAATTATATAATACGTTTTTGATATGTTCTCCCAATAAAAATAAGCAGTGATCTGTTATACTAAAAGATGAGATACAACGGAATAATGTATGTCAAAAGAGATACCTGAAATTGTCAATTAGAATAATTATTTCGAATGCCAGTAAGGGTAGAAAGACAACCTTCAAGTTGACAGCTGCAAAACCATGAACTGCACAAGAGATAACTAATCAGGGTCTTGCACTAGGACCTACCATGCATGGACAGAGACATGAGGATACGACACGACACGACACGGGCATACATCAAATTTCTGAAAATGAAGACACGATAATACGGCAATTTATATAATAAAACATATATTTAAATAACAATAAAAAAAAATTAATCATCCAAATCTAAATTTATATAATACGAACTCTCAAAAGGAAAGGATGGTAGTGGTGTAGATCTGGTGGGCTATGTGGTTTTGTTAGTTTTGAGCTTTAGTCCCATTTAAACCCTAAAAAAATAATAAAAGAAATAATGTGGTGTCGATTTTCTCTACAGAAACAAACGAAATGGCATGTCGACCTCCCACCATATCACATCATCTTCTTCGCAAGGCCTCCTTCCACCAGATCACATCATCTCAGTGCTAGGCCTTCTTCCACCAGATCGCATCACCTTCTTCGCAAGGTCTCCTTCCACCAGATTGCGTCATCTCCATCGTGAGGCCTTCTTCCACCAGATTGTGTCAAAGGCCATGGCAGGGATAACCATATCCAAACCGTCAGATACCCGTATTCATCTGTCAAATGCTGTATCCGTCGATCCAGATACATATCCAATGCGTATCCAACCGTATCGGAGGCATATTGTATCCATTCGCGTATCCAATACGTGATACCGTATCTGTGCATCGTAGACTAGGACTCATTCCATTACGGAGTTGACAGTTTGATGCATTAAAAGAAAAATAAATAAAGTTCATTCTGTTCAACATCTTCTGCATAGATTTCCCACACATGAAAGTAGGCATCAGTCCCAACATACATTTCCCACACATGAACGTAGGCATCAGTCCCAAAAACTATTTTTTCAAGGATAAAAAGAAAGAAGTTGGGTGCATACCGGAAACACTTTCAAGATATATACAAAGGAGCAACTCAAATGCAACTAGCAATGGTGTGGCGGCAATAGCATGACATGGTGCCCACTGTACAACAGAGAAAATCTTAGTGGTGCATATTCACAATTTTTTATTATAAATTTTAGTGTAGTGAAAATAATCTACTGAATTGTAACGAAATACAAAGACATACAAGACGACTGTGTGGAACTGAAGGAGCAGGTAGTGAGAATCTTCCTCGGGCAACAACTGCATGAAATATCCAAAGTGGAAAGAAAATTATCCTGCAACCAAAACACAACACATTCAGAAACGAATCAAAGTGATTGATACTAAGAAGACACATGCCCTCGGGTGGTGGTTCTAAACTTCTAATTAACATATGAATTTAAATGAAAGTCACCTATTCTCCATCTCACTTTCACAACGAAATCTCTTCCAGGAGGTGCCAATACCGCTATCAGTTGGAAGACTGATTCCTAATGTACGTAGCACACAAAATGGGCAACGGGTGTTCTTACCATTGGCACGAAACAGTTCAATACAAGCTCTTATCTATTTTCTTCAGAGTTCTAACCAAATAATTCGTATGTTAATTAAAACGCAGAACGAAAAGAACACGGACAATAACCCTTCATCTGTAACAACAAAAATTTCGAATCCCGTTCGTATTAAAGAACCCTCCTTGATCCTAAACCTGTGCTACCTATGCCACCAGTGAACTAATTTCCCAATCTGTAAGAAAACCAATTCCTTTCTCCACTGTAAATATCATCAAGTTAGTCTTTTTATCTCACTTTTTTCACACCAGCTGCCATCTCTCCACCAAATTACACACTTTCTAATTTCATTTTCTCACCAATTACAACAAAAATTCAAATTTGTTTCCTTTTCTTCTCAATAAAATTTACACCGTTCACATGCAAACCAATTTTCCATCAAACCAAACAAACCCCATCACCTTCCTCATGAATCAAACAAAAATTTTCCCAAACTTTCCCACCCTTAAAATTAGACAATTCCATTCAAATTAAAAAAAAATGCAGCTGAAAACAGAGAAGAGAGAGAGAGTAAACGGACCACCAAGAGTAGGAGGCAGCGACGCCGTCCAGCTTGAGAACGAGCAGTAGCGTGAAGGAGAAGAGGAGGCTGTGGGCCGCCAGGGCCTGCACGGACTTCAACACTCTCCACCAGTTCATCATCACCGTAAAACGACGTCGTTCGCTGCGAGCCGAGACTTCAGATTGTGAGAAATTTCAGAGAGACGTTGCTGTTCCAGTAGGCGCCATTGAAATGACAGGGCCAAGAAATATTCTCTCTCCTTCCTCTCTTTCGTGTCTCCTTTCTTTCATGAATAAAAAACAAATCGCATTTACTCTCTCTCCTCTGAAAAAAAAATAAATAAATAAAGTTAGGGATATTGTTTGCTTCCCCTCCACGGCAAAGTGACGGTACTGCGGCGGAAACGGCCGGCGCGGCCTGATCGGACTGTGCTCTTTCCGATTCCGGCACCCGGATTGTGCGGTCCATTTTGCCCCTGAAAGTTTGGTGGGTATGCTAAAAGTTAAAGGTACAATATCCATATTATCTTATCCTATCCAGCCCATGCAGGAAAAAACAAATCTTAAAATTGGATCGCTTTCCTTCTATGATTTAGATTCACCACTGTTCGTATATCATCAATCTCGCGTTCGGATTTGGTAATTAATTTCTTTCTTTTAATGTTTCTAAAAGAGGATCTTGGTTTAATCTTCTTCGAATCTACGTATTATTTTTACCAATTTTGGTTTTAACTCCAGCATCGTACAGCACTTAATAATGAGTCTTGGCAAGAGAGATACGCGTGAGTATAAAAGAGAAAACACGAGTGAAAATCACTACTGCAAATATTGTAGCCGATTATTTGGCTAATCGGGGTACTAACGATGGATTAAGATTCTTTTCCCTTCTTTTTTCATCCTCTTTTATTCTCTTCTTTCACACACTCTATTTTATCTCTCTCTATAAAAAAAAATTAATATAAAATATTAACGGGCTTATTCGTTACCGTTTAAAAAAAAAAAAAAAAAACAAAGAGATAATCCTTCTCCACTAACGATACCCTCCGTTTTGGTGGTTAAACGTGGTGGTTCAAGGATGGTCCAAATGGAGAATGATATGACACCAAGCACGTACAATTATATTGGAGTGACAGCCCCAAGCACGTACAACTTCAATTGTCCAATTGTTTCAGCCCACGTGGTAAGGATACCTATCTCCTCCCTCAACTTCCCGTGTTTAAAAAATGAATTTGTTGTCGTGCAGCTGTGAGATTATTAGCAATGGATAAGCATCAGATTCAAATGACAAGAATCAAATATAAAATTTTTAACTCACAAATTAAGAAAAATAACACTAGATCGTAGTACTAAATGGTAAATAAAAAAAATAAAAAAACCATGCATGATATTTATCTTAAACGTACCAATATACTCTGAATTGAACACCAAGGACCATGAAATTCAAACTAACCAAATTGAATCATGCGGTTCCTATTAATTCATTTCATCGTCTCACCTCACACAAAACAAAGATCCGGATTCCGAGAAGTGAAATCCAGAGAGGATCTCAAATTCCAGAACACGAATTACTACCCAACTCCTACTTTTAACTTTTTCAAGAACAGTTCCAAACAAAAGTATGAACCGACAAACACAGCCCGCCAAATGATCCAACTGTCGAGCTCTTGGATCTCCTCGCCAGAGGGCCCAGCCCATAATAACCAAAACAACGCCGAAATATGTTTGGCGCCGTTGCATTTGCATACATCCCAAAACATACACACAAAACAAGCTTTACATGCATCTCACAACATAAATTACCGTCCCTCCATCTGAAGAAGGACTAGAAAAACTGCTGGAGCCATTGGGAATTAGCTGCATCCTTCTGCAACTCATCCTTCATCTTGCTAACTTTTTGCAGAGCCTGCTGTAAATCCATCGTCTCCAATGGCAGATTAGAAAACTCCTCCAGAAACTTGTGCGCCCGAGCAGCTCCTTTAGACATATCACCAGAGTCGTGCTCTCTCTTACGCTTCAAACCAACCTGTAAACCAAGATTTTTATTGATAAAATCCAAAGATTAAACAAATCCAGATCAATTCTCTTTGCTAAATACATCTTGACTTGTTTATTGTGATAATCAAGTGCGGAAAGAACGATGCTTAAAGTTTCTATACCAGTGTTGCGGTCCTGTGCCTGTGAGCAATGTATCGATCTAATAGTGCAATGCAATTCCTACCAGTACTCTATGCATCCGAGTTCAAAGAAGTCAATGTACAACGTATTTGTATCATCAAACACCAGTGTAAGGCAGCACAAGAAGTTATAGCGTTGTTAATTATTCAAAGATATGGTCATCACCTCTTCTGTAGCATCATTTGGCGTGACTGTAGTAGCAGAGAAATCCTCCAGTTCAGCAGCTTTTTCTCGAGCAAGGGAAACAACACTTTCAGGAAAGTTTGCAAACTCTGCAACTTGAATACCGAAACTTTGATCACAAGCCCCTGGCTCAACCTGGAAAGTATGATCAAAACAAGAAAATGAGTGAGTTCAGTTTTGCACAACCAAGATCGCATGCACTAGCATAAAAACGAAGAGAAGATAGAAGAAACATTATAGAGGTTAATCGCAAACATAAGTACATGACATCTCCCTCCAAATCAACTACATGAGATTCTGGAAAAGACAATAACTAGAAAATACATCTACCTTGTACAGCATAGTCAACTTGCGGCTTGATGAGTCAATATGTGCACTAACATGATAGTTTGCTACGCCAACTATTTGCTTCATATTAGTGTCCTCAACGACATTTTCATGAGCTAATGCAGTTAATTCATGAAAGTGGGTTGCGAATAAGGTAGGTGCTTTAATCACTTCAACAAGGTGCTCACAAATGGCCCAAGCTAAACCTGAGCACCATAGCAAATATTGATAAGACAAAGCTGTAACCATTTCTATCGCGTTTAACTAAATGTATCATGCATTAACAAAACTGTAATATAAAACATTGGCAGTATCAAATACATTGGAAAAAAAAGGTTCAAGAGAAACTAACCGAATCCATCATAAGTTGAAGTCCCCCGGCCTAACTCGTCAATAATTATTAGTGACTTGTCTGTAGCTCCTTTCAGTATAGATGCAGTCTCAAGCATTTCTTGCATAAAGGTAGAAACTCCACGTAGCTAGAAAGAAGAAGAAACACAATTAAATTTCCAAAATGGAAAGACAAATCTCCAGCGGAAGATAAGAAGACTACAGTGAACTAAAAGATCATTTAAATATCATAAAAAGAAGTTCAAACTTCAAGAGAATATGCCAGGAAACTCACTTGGCAGTCACCAGCTCCCACCCGAGCAAAAATGCAATCACGAACAGAAATGCTAGCTGAGTCACAAGGAACGAAACAACCAACTTGTGCCATCAGAATATTCACTCCAACCTGCCAGTGTAAAGAAAATTCAGTCACTTGTTAATAGTGATTAAAACATTTGGAATTGAGCATGGCTGTGGGGTGTCCAATTCGGTGACACGAGCCACATATCAAGTGCAAGAATGTAATAGTTGCATGGAAAGTTATGGAAGCAGCAGAAGAAGCATTTGACGAAGTCATTAAAATCACCTGTCGGATAAATGTTGATTTACCACCCATATTGGGACCTGTGATGATTTGGAACCAACTCTTTCCTCTCACCTAATCAGCAGAAATAGTAACAAGCACATAAGAACCCATCCAACTTATAAATTCACCAATATCTTGTTCTTTTTAATTTGTTTTTCCTGGGTTCACAAATACTCACAAGTTTACAATCGTTGGGTATAAAATTCACCCAGTCCTGCGCCTCCACACACGGATGTCTACTGCCTTCTAATATAATATCCCCTTCATCCTATTATAGCCAATAGCACAATAATTATTATCAAAATATACAATGTAATAACAAGGACTAAAAAAACATTATTGTTATTCCGTAAGAAATAGAAAGAAAACAAAAGGTCTCTGATTACCGGTGGCGTGATGACTGGCCTAGTGTAAGGAGTAGGACAACTAGAAGCCAAATCAGCAAAACTAAGTAAGACATCCAATTCAGAGAGCAACCCAGCTACAGACCAGAACACCTGGAGATGAAAAATCCTTTAATCCAGAACAAGAAATAGGATTAAGCACAAAACACAGCAAAGTATACTACCTCAGAGAAAGTTGTTGTAGTTTGAACAACTCGGTTAACAAGCTCTTTCTGGCAACTCTTATACTCTTCAACTATTCTTTGATACTGATCCCCTAACTTTTTAAGCTTTGTGTTGGTAAATTTCACTCCATCCTTTCGGGTTTCCAGGACAATGAATTGTGTTGTGAGCTTCTTCCGTATTTTTGGCTCTTCCTTCTTTGTGATTCTGAAAACATGCCCAAATTGTGTACCTTTATCTAATTTTAAAGCCTTATCTAAGGCGAGATCGAGATCATTGGCAGTTTGTTTGTGCAAATTCTGTATTTGGTGCTCCAACGACTCTTGCTCTTCCTTCAGTGCAGACAGTGCTGGGTCATAACTAGATGATATCATGTACTCTCCATTCTCAAGTTGATCAAGGTCAACAGCAGCTTCCACCAGAGCAATGAACTTATTTAAGTGGCGATCATCAGTCCATAACTCAAGGGGTTCCCAATACCTTTCCTTGGTCAGTGAAGACAACTGTCCATCATAGCGTTCTAGGGCACTCTTAATGTAGGGAAGTCTTATACATGACTGCACTTGAAAAGGAAAAATGAGTCAGCTTAAATGCATAGGTACACCTATAAGATAAGTACATTATACTAACATTTTGTTTTACAAATATTCATATATGATCATACCAACAGAACCTCAACACGGTAGATAACCTTATAAGACATAGATTGTACCTGATAAAGTTTCACAATATGCTGCAAACCAGCTCTTTTCTTCTCAAGATTGTGCATCAGCCGCTCGATGTCTGAAATTCTTTTCAGATGCTGCCTCAAATCTTGGCGAAGTGCAGGATCCTCCACAAATGCTTGTACCAAATCTAGCCTCGAGTTGATTTCATTTACATCCAATAAAGGCTGTTTTAGCCACATGTGCAGTAATCTTTTACCCATTCCAGCAGTACAAGTCCTATTCATAAGACCAAACAAACTGAAATTTTTGTTTGCATCGGTTTTGCTTTCCAGGACATTAAGTGCCCTCATAGCAGCAGAATCTAACCTCATATAGCTATCAAGATTATATCTTTGAATGCTATAATTTCCATAATTGCTCTCATCAGCAAGTAATTCTGCATAAGAGAGCAATGCCCCCAATGCACCAGGTGCAAACTCAAACCCTGACACAAAATCTCGAACTGGTTCAATGGAGCCTTTGACAAGCCGACTAAGATCCTGAACCAAATCCCTCATCTTAAATTCAGTCTTCTTCCTCTCAGTTAACATCACACCACATCTACCCAGTGCATCATGCAATGTTCTACTTTCGCTAGTTTTGCCACTCTCTAGAGGCAGAAGGCATTCCTTGCAACCAAGTGCAACTAAAGCTGATTCCACATTTGTAAAGTGACTATCATCAATAAATTCAGCTAATCCAAGTACTCGTTTAGTTAGATCAACATATCCTAACCCAACTGTGCAACCATTTTCCCGAAAGTTAGGTAATAGCGCAACAACCACTGGGGTATCCTGCATCTCATTGTTGGCAAACAAAACATCTTCAAAACTGCCAAGGTTTCCAGGCGTTCCACTTTTCACCAGCCTCCAACTTGAGCCACTACCCTCGTAAATCTCAAGAGTGTGGTCTGTTCTTTCCAGTAGTATATCACGTGTAATTGTCTCAAACATATTTTTACTAACACTCACACTGGATAGGCCATTAGATCCGCTACCCAACTGCCGTAAAGCAGTGGTGGTACGGTAGTAGGTCTTTGCGATGAGAGTGGCATTTTCACCATGAGCAGTATAGTAGTCCTGAGATAACAAGTCACATGAACTGGTCAAAATGCAGTTACAATAAGAATAACGAGAATCCAATAGAGATAATAGAGGAGGAAAAGGGGATAATAAAATAAGGGAATGCACAAAAGAAAGCTGGAATACAAACTGACCCGACGATCAAACAATCGAATAGCTCTTGAATCCTGCAAAAATATAAACAGAACAAAACCCAAATAGTCAACCGGAAAGTAAATGCAATGAAACGAAATCAAATCTAAATTTTTAAGTCTATTTCAACCTCAAGCCAAATTTTCATTCAAATAAATAAATAAACAAATACAAAAATAGAAACAAAAGATGATTTTTATCACTTTCAATTTCAAGAAATTAAACAGACAGCTAGGGTTTTGAATACTCACATTGGGGAGGGTTTTGAAGAATGAGAGAAACCCTTGAGATTGCTTTGCATCTAAACAAATTGAAAAAACTATATAAATACAGAAACATATACATACAAATGAATTGTAACAAATATATGTGTGTGTGTGTGTGTGTGTGTATACAAAAAAATAATAACTGAAATAATTAGTGAAAAATGCAAAGCTAGGGTTTTTGCGAGGCTTTACCTAGCTTGAGCTCGGGAAGCTTGCTGTGGTCCTCAAAATTGGCATCCATGGCCGATTCGCTGTTAGGGCTTTCAACTCTCCGACCAGAAAAGGAAGCTCCTCGCGCCTCAAAGTTTCTGAAAGTGTGGGTTTTGCACAAGAAAACGAAATGAACTTTAATGGAGTTTGGGGATTGGCGGGAAAGAGACGAGGGGCCGCGGGCTTTTGGAGAGCCGCGCGTGTGCCACGCTCGTTGTGGTTCTTAGTACGGAGCTGAAATCTGGCGCGTGGGGTTTTCGAACGTTAGTTGGACCTGGGCCGGCCCAAGAAGGCCGACATTTCTCGATCCAATGCTTTTGAAAGCAATGTGGCAATTTGGAATTTTATGGACATATTTGGAAATGCCAATAAGACTCTTTTAAAAGTGACTTTTTATGAATTTTCTGTCATCTCGTAATTTAACATTATTTATGTGCCAATATTATAAAACATTGTGCTAAAAAAATAAGGAGGCAGAGAATTCGTGAAGAGTCTCATTTTTCAGACTCTCCTTAGCATTTCTTTTACTTATAATAATTGATTGTAAAGAATATATCATTCGTGTTCATGTATTTACTAATAACTAAATGAATGAAAAAGCGGGTAACTCTTGTTAGTTTGAGTATGAAATATCTTAAAAGCGAAAGTACGCGACAAATAAACAAATTGTTTATCTCATATCCATTATTTCTTATTTAACTGAGTAAAGATGTCCAAAATGATTTGAGGTAATACTAGGGAGATCATTTATTTAAATTATATTTTATAAAGGGTGATGATAGGGAAACCAAACGATATAGACACTGATGATGGATTACTACTTAAGTGTTTATTAACATGTTTATTTCCTATTGGTGCAAATTTAGTTTAAAAATTTGGTCTTCCTAGCCTTATTCTTTTGTAAACCATCTGACGTGATTGTTTATGACTGTGTTATTACTTAAGTGTTAATTAACATACTTATTTCCTATTTTGTGACACATCACATAATTTATAAATTTAGTTTAAAAAATTAATTTACCTAGCATTACTCAATGATTTGGCTAACGATATTGTGTTGTACCCGCCTTATAAGAACTTGTCCTATCCCCTAGGAATGTATTAGACCCACAAAGAAACAAAGGAAAAGAGAATCTTAATAAAAACACAGAGAAAAATGTCTTCGGTCTGTGATAGAAAACATGATATATGATCAAAAATTGTACTGAGCAGACAAGAACCTTTTCATAATTTTCTTATCCGGATGTTTTTCTGTTTTTTCTTTCCCAATCCTTTGCTAAAACGTGTCCAGATAGAAGTTTGCTTAGACCATTATTTCTTCCCACCATCTATTTTTAGATTTTTTGCGGGCATTAATTTCAATATTTATATATACTGATGAACAAAGGCATAATACATAATATTTCTGAAGTTTTCTGAAAACCCTAAATTTTTCCAACCCTAAACTGTGTGCATCTCCTTGGCACTATCTTCATAAGTTATTCCGTTGGTTTGAACATCTAATCACACAAGGGCCGGCCTACTGTAATATAAGATAATATTGGCATGAAATTATATGGCAATTTATATGTGGGATTTTTGAACTTTAATTCTTCAAGAAGATTAAAATTTAATAAAAATTTGGTGTTAGATTGAATATTGATTTTAGTGTGTACTTAATTCAAATTCCTATTATATTTTTGTTTTTATATTTAATAAATAACTTATTTAATGTCATTACATTAATTTTTAAATTTATTATTATTTTAATTCATTAATTTTATTTAACTTTCTCTAAATTCATTAATTTTTAATTAGTGTTCCTAAACGTCTGTATCATAATATTTTACTTATTAGTGTACCGAAATGTCCGTAACTAAATATATTGTAGTGAATTAGTGACACATAAGTGTACCGAAAATTTCGTACCTAACTATATGATACTAAACTAGTGTACTGAAATGTTGGTACCTAAATATATTACACTAAACTAGTGTACCGAAATGTCCGTACCTAAACATATTATACTAACTTAGTGTATCAAAATGTTTGTACCTAAATATATTGTAATGAATTAGTGGCAGATAAGAAAATATGCAAAAATATAAGTGTACCAAAAAATCTCTACAAAATTATTTTCTTATATAATGCTTACCATAGTGAAAATTAAAATTTATAACATTTTCATAAAATTAAAATCGATAAAAAAAAAAATAAAAAAAAAAACATTGAATGCATATGCTGGCATTGAATAGAGTCTATGGACTAAAATCAATTTTTAATCTTGTATAAGACATTTTTCTAAAATTTCATTTTATTTGGAATTAAAATCTAATTTTCTATTTATATATCTAATAAAACCCTATAAAGAAGCTGATATATGTATATATGTGTGTGTGTGTGTGTGTGTGTGTGTGAGACATGCAAAAACCCTAGCTAGCTACTTGATAAATAACAACACAAAGTGCTTACGGAAGAAGAAAATCAAGGGCTTTGCGCACAGGAAGCATGAAGGTACAGCATCGGCCATAGAATATTAGGTAGCACGCATGCCTATACAAAGTCGTCATGTCACCAATCAGAAACTTGGGGTCAGATACATAACTCCATGCTTGGCTCATGGATTTAAATATATAGTATATTGTTAATGTGGTACAATCCACCGGTCCACCTTAGCTAGCTAGAAAGTAGTTTTAGTTTGAATCGTAATGATAAAATTTCCTTTCTTTTAGTTATTCCTTTTCTATGTTGAAAAAGTTGGATTTACGTCTAAATCATCACTTGTCAAAACTACTCTAAGTTAGAAAGAGATGTTGCATGTATATGAATCACTCAAATATGATTCGGAAGTGTTTAATCGGAAATACAAAATGTAGGGATTAATGTATTATAATTGGTTAGCACTAGAGTGCTTCTGCATGATTTATGTACATATTTATTGATGCTATAAAAGGCTAGAAAGATATCATCACTAGCAAGCATAATAAGGATAAAAAGAAGCGTGTGGACTTTCTTTCCCCATGACAACTTAATCAAATTAATCAAATTAGACATATATATATATATATATATGAGTACCTTCGAAATGCTTTAGCTGTAACAACTTAATCAAATTAGACATGTAAAATTACTTTAGGGACAAGAAAACTCCAGGAAATCGACCTAAAAGGGACTTAAATGAGGTGGAGTTTTTAAATTTTAATCAATGTATAATTACCACAAATAGTCACTGCACAATAAATTGTCCCGCACAATGCCCCAAATTCCTTTGCTATCTGTGGTAAATGGTACATCCCCTACAAAAACTCACATTATGGATCACATCCAGATAATATTCCAAATGAATCTCATGACAAAGCAGGCTCATGTGATGAAAGCTAAGGTTGTAAGTTTTGAACCACAGATTTGAACATGGTGGTACAGACAGGGCAGAGACCATCGCCCGCAAGGAAATGAAAGCACTTAGACAAGCAACCAATATAACCATGGACTTTTTAGGGTTTTATTGTACACATTCACATTATATATCACCCACTCTAAGAAGTGGTACACTCGTCATCCTCTTTACTTTCATAGTTATCTCCTCCTTGAAAGCAACCTTAGAACAACCATGGCACTGGTATACATCATCATGTGGTCCTTGTTATTATGCCAGCCTAAAGAGGTCAGGCTTTAGCTAAAGCTACTCTAGAGAGAGAGAGAGAGAGAGAGAGAGGGACAGATAGAGGTGGTTTATATAAGTGGGGAGAAGGACGGCATGTAAAAATGGAAATAAAATTTGAGAAAGAAAGGGAATTAGTAGGTACATAAATATATACATAATGCAAAGAGGGCTTTCAATTGTCGATAGGATTATTGCCATATTCATATAAGATGGATGGGATTGGTTGTGTGGCTATTTCTCATTGGCTAGGGCTCTTAGAAGGTCTTGGTACAGGGCAGTGGCAAGTACAAGCATAAGCAACTTTTTCTTGACAGTGAGGGAGGGAGAGAGAGAGAGAGAGAGAGATAGAGAGAGAGCTAGCTTTTCAGCTTTCATTTCGTAAAAAAGCTTAACCGATAAGAACGCATGGGATGGGAGGGAACCCAGGAACATTCGTACATGGACATACTCAGTGAGAGAGAGAGAGAGAAAGAGAGGGATAGATGAGGCTTCTCTTCCTTTTGGTGACAGCGACATGAACGGAGATGCCCTAGTCAAAGGAGTACTTGCCCTATGAGAGTGCAGGCCTCACAGTTGGTAATGTCCCTTTGAGTTAAATAATTGTCCTCCCTTTCTAGGGTTAGACAGACGTGGAGGTTCATACTTCATGCATTAGTATCATTGATTCATTATGTATAGAAAAACACAAAAGAAGAAAAGAGAAAAGCTAACTATACTTGGAGCAACACACATAGATTTGTTCTTTTATTTTGCTTAGCTTTTGATGGTGTTTGGCCTCTCATGTGAGTTGTATATAATTACAAAGTAATACAAGGACTATTCTAACTATTGAAAATTAATGGTGCATGCCATGTCACTTAAATGATGATTGAGACATATAGAGGAGTAACTTAACTTTTTCTAAGAATAAGGTTGCTTAATTTTTCATGTGAGACAGCACATAACATTTTCTCATAACCTCTTACGTGTTGCAACATCCAAATCAAACATATAAGCAACATATATTGGGTTGCATAGATCACGTGTGACCTTTGTACTTCACATGAGCTAACTAATCGTGATAATTATCAAGGAATTAGTTGAAGATTCACTATAAAATTAATTAGCAATAAAGAAAGTAACTCTACTTCTGAGATGTGTGAGGACTTGAGGTTAAAAGATTCTCATATTGGTGAAAGAGAAACATTGCAAGAAGTTATAAGAGGTTGTATTGCTCCACATATTGCCAATTAATTTTATGATGAAACCTCATAAGAGGTTGTGTTGCTCTCCATATTGCCAATTAATTTTATGATGGAACCTCAGCTTTCTTCATAGTATTAAAGTAGGTTGGTTCACGTGCTGAAACCCAACTAGCATATGTGATCCACGTCACCCAATTCATGTTGTCCACTTGTTTGGCTTGAAAACCCACAACATGTGAGGGGGCAGTGTAAGGATATGAAGATAAAAGAATACCACATCTTTAAAAGGAAAAACCTTATAAGAGTTTACTAGAGATTGAATTACTCCTCATACTACCAATGAGTTTTATAATAAACCTCAACTTTTCGATACAGACATGTAGATCACTAAACTTTTTGAGTGGGAAATCACTCCATATCCTCACAATATTCATATAAATTATAATTGAAATAAATAAGTTAATTATAGTTGAATCTTACCAAAACAAACCACAAAATCCACTCTCCATCTTTATGTGTGTGTGTGACGCTATCTAGCGACTGTGGTGTATATGTCTCTGTCTTTATTTTTTTTATTTTCTTTGATAGAGAATCTAGGTTATTGAATTAAGGGGTACTTTGATCCTGTTGTTGTTGAATTTAGACCCTTTTTTTACTTTTCAATTTTAATTTCATTTCTTAATTTATGACTATTTACTTAAAATTTTAATTTGTTTATTTTAATATGAAAATTAGACCACTTTGAAAATAGTTAAAAGAAAATTTATTTATCATCATATATGATACATGTACCATAGGTTGATAAAATACATTTAACATATGATAGAGGCATCAATGAAAATAGCTAAAAATTAATCTACCTATGATCCATGAAAATAGTTCAAAGAAATTTCATCTTCCAAAGGTTTATAAATTCATACTAGTATACATGTTGATATAATATAATAACTATAACATAAATTAGTTAACACAGTTAACTTGGGATGGAGGTAAAAGAAAAAATTAAGATACGAATTAGCAGAAGGAAAAAGAAGAAACAATAATTAATACTTATATTTAATCCTTAAATGAAGTAAAAGATAAACCTATAAATAAAAGATGGTATTTATCATAATTTAATAAAATATAATAAAAAACCTAAGTCAACAAAGTGGACTTAATCCAGTAATACCTAAGAACTTGGATTTATATCAAGTTTTCTTTTGAATGAATCTATACCAGGCAACCTGCAAACCACGTGAAGAGGTGGGGCAAATAGAAAGATTTTTATGTGTGTTCAGAATTCAGGATGAAAATCACATATTATTATACAATAGAATGAACACTTAAAAAATATTTTATTATGATTATATAATAATATATGATGTTTCAATACGTGTTTCTGATACATTAAAAAATCTCTTGTGAAAGTAGTACCAGGTGTTTTCCTATCTACTCAGTTGCTTCCACACATTATATTCTAAAGTGTAGAACCAACTTTTTGATGAAAAGACTAAGAAAAAGATAGCTCCTTGTCTCTGCAATAAATTGCCCCCTACTCTCCTTTGCTTCTTTACCTTACTACTTCCTTAATAGCTTCTCTCTCTCTCTCTCTCGCTCGCTCGCTCGCTCTGTGATTATATTCAACCCCTATGGACATATGGTGTTCTTGCTGTGCTGTCTTTCTCAACATCTCTATCTCCTAACCATGACGATCGATGGTAAATGTACGATCTCTCTCTCTGTCTATGTCTTTTTCTAGCTAGCCATAACCTTTTCTCTCTCGGGCAAACACAAAAGGAAACCAAATAAATACAGTACATATAGTTAAAGGTGTACATATTCATATTACTAATACGTACAATATATATACACATATGAATTATAAGTATATATAGCTATCTGAGTAGCACTGCAGGCAGCAGCTGTCTTTCTCAAGCGCTCAGCTGGCCGTAAATACAGTAACACACGGCTGTCTTTCTCAAAGCTGTCCTCCTATAATTTCTCTTACTACTTTTGCAGGAAAGGTGAAAAACAAGTGCACTGAAATCTCATTCAATGGCAATGGCTTCATCATCAAGTCGTTCTCAAAGCGCAAGCCAGGCCCAACGCCTAATTTCAGTCCAAACAATCAGTAAGCCGATATCCCCAAGAGTACAAATTGTACACTATAGATGGTAGCTAGCTAGGGTTAATTTGGAAATTGAAAGCAACCAAACAAGCTAAGAGTCTAAGAGGGAGATATAACATGTTTCCCTCACACAACAACAATCTTAACGAATTAGTACCCGTGTCTTATCCTCATGTCGATCAATCAATTTTCCATAGCTGGCCATTTCACCATGACAATTCTACATTAACTCCCAATTCCCTTACTATTCTCAACCCCAATCCCAACTCCAGGCAACAAGAAGGAGGAGAAGAAAACCTTCATCAACAACATCAACACCTTCCTTTTTCTTTGCTCTACTTCCCCTCTCCGTTTGAAGACGACGACGTTTTACTCTTTGATCAGCAACACCATCACCAAGAACCTGACCATATTGAGCTTTCACTTCACCAGTCTCAAGAACCACCTTATTTTATGAAGGAAGCTGCTGCTGCTGCCGCTGATGACAACACCGTAGTAGGCAATGATCATCAGAAGACCACTACTACTAGTGTTAATAGAAAAATGGTGGACTGGGATTCCAACAAAAAGGGCCATCGCATGAACATGGATGATCAGCCGCAGATCCCGAGAAGGAGGACTTGCAAGAGAGATCGCCACAGCAAGATCAACACTGCCCGAGGCCCCAGGGACCGTAGGATGAGATTGTCCCTCGAAGTTGCCCTTAAGTTCTTTGGCTTGCAAGACGCGTTGGGGTTTGACAAGCCCAGCAAAACCGTGGAGTGGTTGCTCATTCAGTCGGAACCTGCAATCAAGAAACTATCAAGAGATCATCATCGACAATTCAACTACAAACACATGGTGAGATGTGCAAAAACCACATCTCCAGCTACTTCGGAGTCGTGCGAAGTGCTATCCGGCGTCGATGAGGCTCCAACAAACGTTAACATTAGTAGTAATGGTAAAGTAAGAAGCCGCGGGATCAAACCCTCAGCCAAAGAGAGAAAGATTGTCCACAGGCAATCAAGGAAGAGCGCATTTCACCCTCTTGCAAAGGCTTCCAGGGAAAACGCAAGGGCAAGGGCGAGGGAAAGAACAAGAGAAAAGATGCAGAGGTCAAAGAAGCCTAGTAATGATCAGGCAAATTCAAGCCGTTTGAGTTCTTGGAACCCATTTGAAACTGAGGAAGAATCACCAATTCACAACAACAATATGACCAGTACTACTAATGATCAGCCCAATTCAAGGGCGGTGCTGCGAGATTACCCTGATGAGGTTGAAGAACCATTAAGCAGCTCCCAAGCCGGAGATATTCAAGACATGGTTGTTGATCATGGTACTACTCATGATGCTATGGTGGTACTGGGAAAGTGGAGTCCTCCTCCAGTTTTCACTCGTCTCCAGCAAAACACCGGTATTTCCCAAGAGGTAACTTCCACCACCAAGTTTCAACTTCTCTAATGTATATATTTTCACAACAAATTATAAAATGTCTGAAAATTATGATAGAAAAAGGCCGTACTCAATCGACATATTGTGGATGCTATAACAAATGTGCATCAAGTATTGTCGATTGAGGTACGATCACTAATCTAAAAATCGATCCTAGACGGCTAATTATCGTTCCGATTAATACCTAAGCATTTGAAAATTAAGAAAGGACGTCCGCCTAGCATCCGCCTAGACCAGTTGAGGCTCCCGCCTAGACCATCTAGGCACCCGTCCAGACCCGCCTATCTAGATTGTCTAGACGCCCACCTAGACCAGCTAAGGCACCCTCCTAGGCACTTAACTAGGTTGCGACTCATTTAAACAGAAAATAAATAACTTTCAATTTATATTAATTTATTCTAATAAATCGTAAGAAACTTGTTGAATACTTAAATGATCACACTATATTTGTTCCCTATATTTTCATTATATTCAAATACTTCTTTATACGGATGCCATTTTATCTTATAATTTATGATGAAATTATATATATTAATTATAAACAGGCTTATTTACACGAAATATAATGGATTTATTTAAATCCGTCTAAGCGCTAGACCTTAATTCGTTGCTCAATTAGCGTTTAGTGTCTTTTAGAACCTAGATAGTAAGTATTTGCTATGGCTTCTTCTGACAACACCACATAACTCTTAATTTGCAGCACCAACAGTTTGCAGACTTTCAATTCTTTGGCAAACCATGGGAGGTCGACAACAATACTCATAATCAATCTATTCTAAGTGGAAATTTTCTCTCTTGAATCATTAAATCTCAATTACAAGTGCCTGAAAAACATTCTGATCAGTAATTCGTGTACATGTTTATTCTGTTTGGAATAATGTAATATAGCAAATTAAGTGTCTTAATTTTCAATCGTTGTGTACTTTCCCTCTAAACTAGTATATGTAAATTAATGATTTACATCTACATCCTTTGCACTAAGGAAATTTTCGGTTTGAACTCTAAAATAGCTTTCCCTGCTTATGATTTTATGCTGATGTAACATATTTGTATCCAGCACATTTTTTTTTGTTTGGGGTACAAGGCTTAGTATTTAGGGCATATATTTAAAAAATAATTAACTAAAAGTCCATAACAACATATGATTTTCCACTTGATGAATATGTCATTTGCTTTTTTTTTTTTTTTTTTTTTTTTCCTCCAAGCTCTAAATTTTTTTTAGTAAGGTTTAGGGTCACTTCTCATGCATATAGTATGCAATATCCATATGTAGTTGAACTAAGTGCATACCAGTCAATAAATTCTGGCTATTAATCAGCTTATCTTTTTAGAAGTGATTGAATAGACCCTTGAGTGATCCACTAATTCCCAAATTCAAGTCATATGCATGCATGCTTCCAAAAGTCCATTGAGGCCTGATGAGGAGAGAAATATCAACAGACAAATGATCCTTCACTTCGTCACTTTTATGTAATGTTTAAAATATCTACGAAATTGTTAAATATCTGAAAAATCAATGATCGATGTAGAAGATGAGTTGAACTGAAAACTTCAATTTATATCAGCGAGATAGAAAAAAATTAATAAATATCAATGATATTTATCGATATATCCATCAATATTTACATAAATATGGATATCAATCTTTCCATATAGTTCGATATTATAAAGAGTGCTTTCATCGTGTCATAAATTCTGAATGGAAGACGATGCAGGTATCATGTACATATGGAATTTTGTGTAGGGGAAAACGCAAAAGGAATAATAACATTAAATTCTAGTAACCTATAATCATGATAGAAGTTGATTTGTTTAAACATGTGTAATGAACTTGGATTAATTAATAGCTATGAGATCATATATTTAATTTCATTACAGTTATAGTGCAGATTCTTATAGCACCTAGCAGGCAAAGACCACAGAATAGCCCATATTACATTTTTCAGAATTTAAATAAGCTATCAAGACTGAAAAAAGCAATAAGCTATTACATAATTCCATCCTATAATACTAGGTGTCGAGTAAAATGTGTAATGTATGCATTTTTCTCGTTTGTAAAGCTACTGCTAAATGTCATCTTTCTTTTTTCTGTGTTAGTGAGCATGCATGAAAGAATTACGTGTCTCATCTAACCATTGACAACAAATAACCTTCCAATTTAATTAGCGAGTCAGGTACATATATACATTGGTGAATTGTTCCATACATCGATCGAGCATTAAGAGTAAAAATACTGTTTATTAGTTGAGTTGTGTAAACTGAAACTTGAAAACCACCCTTCGGGTCTTAGCCTCGCTCTTATGTAAATTGCACTCTTTCCTTTAATTCTTTAAGCTGACTGCAGGTGATAGTTGGGGGAAGATAAATAAGAAAATAGGAAAGTAAATAGAAATCCTTGAAAGTCAATTTAATCGGATGGAAGGTTAATAATGTTTATTTGGCTTTAGGAATATTATCTGGCATGTATATATGTATGTAAATATATATATTTACACAATCACAATCACATATAGGAATTTGAGGGTTTGCAACTTTATTTGGATAAACACTTCAAATTTTTTAGTGAATTATTATCCCTTGGATTTGAGGTAACTACATTTCCGTATCTCTTGCTGAAGGGTAAAGTTCATAATGTTTAACTTAGATATGTTTTCAAAGTTTTAATTAGTAAATTCCTTATCATCACACACACACACACGCGTTTATATATTATTACAAGCGAATCTATACATTAATCTATACTAAAGAGAGTAAGATGGTTTAAACCTTGGGAGCAGTGGGTTGAAGAGAAATTACCCTAATCACTAGGACAATTCACCACTTCTCTTAACTATCAGAGCAATATCTACCAGAAGCTATCATATATGGTTTATAAAACAAATTACTCTTTTGGTGGTAGGAAACATGTATCAGTACGTACTTGCTTCCACAGGATTACGTTTTTTTTTTTCCTCCATAATTTATTGTATAATAGCACTGAAAACAACAAGAAAACTCTCTTTCCAAATAGTATGGATATTATGTGGAAGATTGCGGCTTCAAATTTATGTAAAATGACATGATGCAACACATCATACCATCCAATACTTCCGAGTCTTTTTCGATCAGAATGTGCGGTGTGGAAGGTGGTGATTGTGATATGATGTTGGACTTGCTGTTTGCTAATTACCTTTATATTTACATTTAAGTTTATCCGTGAAGTTTAGCATCATATTTGATCAATGACTCTAATTAAATTTTGGATATAAGGCACGGCATTTTTTTTTTTTTTTTTCAGAGAACCTCAACAGTATGATTGGTAAATCGAAGATTTTTGAAGTACTTCTTTCTCTTCACAATAACAAGTGCAATACAAATTTATCCATATTAATCTAATTTAAAAAATACACACACACACACACACACGCACACATCGAAAAAGTTTCCTCTTCTCCTCTCCTAAGTTCCCAATTTCATTTTTAACTTTTACAGGTTATGGTGGGATGGTTGTGCAACTTCACTAAGTTTAATTTAAAACGAATTACAAAAAATTGGAAACGGTGAGCAAGACAGAACTAATGGTTCAATGACAAAATTCTGAAAAGAGCGAATAAGAAAAATTCAATAACCGTACGTTCCATTTGGATTTTACGATTTGTCCTATCTTGAAAATTCTATTAAAAAATTCAAAGTGCCAAAATAGTGGATGGCAGATTTGTCATGGAAATATTTCAGATGTCGTCTTGCCCGTCAAAAGTAAACACACAAAAAAAGGGTAACATGCTAATACACAAGCGGTCTATAGGCGATAGTGCGATAAGGGAAATCCGGCTATGACCGGCTAAAGTACGCGAGCTAGAATGCATCGGATGTGTGGTTTAGCCACAATTTTAGGATAACTAATGAAAGTAACTGTAAATTTAAATTTTAATCAAAGGATAAAAATATGTTGTAAATAAATAGTATCATTAGTGATTTTTTAGAGTAAAAATATCATTTTTATTAAAAACCAAAAATGTTTTATTAAAACTTCGTTTTGTTTTTACCTTTTCCATCTTTTAGTTAATGTTTTCTTACTTTTCCTGACTAAATGTTTAAGAGTGTATACGCGACTCGTGAATTTCATCAAGTTTGTGCATTCTTAAGTTCACAAAAAATTGAATTATTTCTTCAATTGGCCTATTTAACGAAACCCTATTCCTCCATACCGGCCGATATATTGCACAATGCCGGATTTTGGTTTTCTTTTTTTCGTCTTAAGTTCAGATGATTCCATTCCATGCATGACAATGGCTATCAATTCATACTTCTCCTAAAGAAAAAGGAAACATAAGGCTAACAAGAAATGGAATCATAATACAGCTGCAGTAAGAATGGTACAAAGAAAAAACTGCAAGAACCTAGAAAGCAGGATTTTCAGGTAAGTTTATTAAAAGTTTAGTTCCCCATTAGCAAAAGATTGAGCCTCGTAATGTTTTAGTCGAACTAAAGGGAAAGATGGCAGATGGAAAACTGCAAAGTTCCGGATTTAACTGGCGATTGCACCTTTTGCCTAACCCAGAAATCTTACACGCTATTTAGATTCTTTTTAAATTTTGTTTGGAACAGACCGATGCTTTTTTTTTTTAATAACAAATTAAAAAAAATAAAGAATGGTAAAAAGCACCCAAAGACCATTAGACCATCTTCAATCTTTGAATTAAAATATAAAATTTTAAGCTAAAAAGTTTAGATTTTCAACTTTTCGAGGATAAGATTTTAGTATGAGATTATTATGATAACTTTTTTGTTAAAACAAAAATTTATGTAAATTATTCTAATTTAATTTTATGAATATTTAATCTAAAAACATTTAGATTTTAATAAATATTAAAAAATTACTAAATCGATCTCATAAAACTTGTGAAATAATAAACAAAAATAAAACACATAAAAAATTATTTTTAATTATTTAATCGTTGAATTTAAACTTGAACCGTTAGATTTAACTATATTATATCTTAATTGTTAGATTCAACAAGTTTATAAATTTAAAAATATAAGAAATATATATATGATGAGTCAGCCAACTAAGTTCAGGAAATACTGTGCTGAATTTGTCCAAAAAACGATCTTTGAGTTAAAATTCATATTTGACATAAAGAGTGCAGTTGAGTAAGTTTAGAATTTAAAATTTGAATTTCCTCCAATAGTTGGAGTAAATTTTACTAGATTCCACAGGTTAATTTCAGGTGAAAAAAAAAAGATACCACACGTACATATATATACACACATGTATATATATATATATTATATAGAAATATGGACTATTTATTTCACATAAAAGAAAAAGGTTAATATGATATAAGAAAATAAGAACACTTGTAGATCTGATTAATTATTGCCCAAAAAATATAATTAATTATATCAAAACCCTGTAAACTTCGATCTGATCTGATATCGACAACTATAAAGGATTATCAAAACAAACCATTATTCGTAAGGGATAACAAAGCCACACACATCCCAGATCTTGTAATTTACACGGCTAACGCCCGACACCCCAACAGAGATATTCTTGAAGAAATTAGACAAAAGCCAAAACAGAAGTTGTTCATAGCATTGATCCGGCCGCAAAATCTATTCCCTCAACATCTCCTTATTTTATGTTATTTTTCAAAGTGGAAAAAGGCAAATCAACAAACCCTAAAAGGAAGTATGTCATGTTTCTATTTTTGAGCATGTAAACTCTCACCTTCTGTGCTCTCCCTTGAAGTTGATGCAGAGCCACACAAAAACAAAATAAACAAAAAAATGCAAAAGAAAAACTAAGATCTACAAAATTAGGATGAGATTCCCAAAAACCAGGGGGGAAAAGCATAATATTAATCAAGAATTTCCTCTTCCAACATCGATCTGAGAGAGAGAGAGAGAGAGAGATGGAGGGAGGGGAAGGAGAAAAGAAAATTAAACTTCGTCCAACCTAAACGCTGAGAAACCCTAACAGA